GTAGGTTCAAGCTTAATGTTGGTGAGGATGTTGCAGGACCAGGCAGTGTTTCATTCTGTTGTGCATAGGTCGCTAGAAGTTGGAACTAGCTTGATGGCATCTAACAACAACACATAAGAACTGGTTCTGTTTACGACAACTGGATCTGACTGCTCAGAATGGCTGCTCAGGAGACAGTGGTGGTGGTGGCGGTGTTCCTTGGAGTGGGTACCGACTCATAGCAACCTCACTTAGAGTTTCCAGGGCTATAAATCTTGTGGAAGGCACTTTGGTAGTGTAGTGGATATGAATCGGGCTGCGAACCTTAAGGTCAGCAGCTAGAAACTACCAGCTGTTCCATGGGAGAAAGATGAGGCGTTCTGCTCCCGTAAAGATTTACAGCCTAGGGTACAGTGTCGCTATGAGTCGGAACCGACTCCACAGCACATAGCCACCAGCCAAATCTTTGCGGAAAGCCTCATCTTTCTCCTGAAGAATGGCTAATAGTTTCTAACTGCAGACCTTGAGGTTAGCAGCACGATTCATAACCACTACTTTATCAGAGCTCCTTCAAGAGCCAGAAGCACCCTTTAAGAACTCACATTAATCTCTAGTGATGTTTTCTTCATTTTCAAGTACTATGTATCTAGTAGAGATGAAATGATTATGTTATAGAAAGGGGAGTACAAAACATACTAGCCAGCTTACTTTTAGAGTTTATAAGGCAGTTCTTTCAGGGTGGAGGCCCCAGTGGCATACTGATTAAATGCTCAGCTGCTAACCACAAGGTTAGCATTTTGAACCCACTCAGGAGCTCCATGGGAAAAAAGACCTGGCAATGTATTTCTGTCAAGATGGCTGTTGTTAATTACCATCCAGTTGGTTCCAACCCATAGCGACCCTATACAGGGTTTCCAAAGAGAGGCTGGTGAGTTTGAACTACTAAAACAGACTAGGAAGTCTGACTTTGCTGTTAGCAGTCCAGTGCTTATCCTACATCGTCATAGGACCCCATCAAGACTATAGCCTAGGAAATCTACTATCATAAAAGGTTGCTATGAGTCAGAATCAACTTCATGATACCCAACATTATTTCTTTAAACTCATTTTGGCCTAAAAACCCACTCTGGAGTGATCCATTGTAGGATGTAGACTCTGAGATGTATCTGAGTTTCTGTTGGCAAATTAAAGTCATGAATAAAAGATGAATGCCTTTGCTTTTATTTCCATTTGTTCAGTATAACCAGGAACCTATCCTAGAAGGGGTCCTGGTGTGTGGCAAGGTGGGTTAATGCGCTAGATTGCAAGGTCCGTTTGAACCACAAGGTTGGTGGTTCAAAGTCCAGAATCACTGGGAGTTGAAATTGACTCGACAGCACTTAACTACAATAATAATCCTGGAAAGAGCGAGCCCTGGTAACATAATGGATTACAAATTGGCATAAAGGTTAGCAGTTCGAATCAACTAGCTGTTCTGTGGGAGAACTGCTCCTTTAAAGATTCACAGCCTCAGAAACCCTATACAGGATCATTATGAGTCAGAATCAACTTCACGACACACAACAACCAGCATCCTGGAAGAGGAAAATTTAGGTATGAATTTAAAGAGCAGCTCATCTGATAGGCACTGAGTAACCTCCTTTCAAGGTCCTGGATTCACTTTGAAAATACATTTTTCTCTCTGAATATAATTTTTCCAGTTATTGTTATGTGAATTTCTTTTATTTTGCTTATTCGTGGAATTTTTTGTTTTGGTGGAATTTTACCACCTGACAGGAACGTTTGAAAATGGGTAGTTTTTGGGTTTTTTTTCCTCTAGAAGTAGATGTGCTTGGATTCTGTAAAGAAGCTTCACACTGCCCATTTTACTGGGAAATCATGAGAAAGAATAAAGGGAGAGCTACAGATGAGGATCTTCAAGAATCCAAATGGCTGAAACAGTTCCTCTTGAAATGCTGCAGAAAGCAGTCAATAGCATTTTCTGAGTACTTTATCTACATTTTATCATTTATTCCTTATAACACTGCAACTAGATGTTACTCCCATTTTACATGAGAAATCTGAAATTATTTGCCAAAAGTCACACATAGGTGGCAACTGGGATTTGAACCCACATTTGTCTCAGACTTGAATGCGCTTTTGGTTAAGTCACGTGATGCCTCTAGGGAATGTTTACAGTAACCAGAGCAGCAAAGTTCAATATGGTAGTCCCTAATCAAATGTGACTATTGAAAACCTGAAATACGGCTAGTCTGAATCCAGATGTGCTATAAAATATATGCTGCGGTGCTGTAGGATAAGCACAGAAGTCCTGAGGTGGCTCCATGGGCTAACACGCTGGACTGCAAAGTCAGTTTGAATTGCAAGGTCGGCGGTTCAAGCTCACCAGCTGTTCCTCAGAAACCCTATACAGGGTCACTATGAGTTGAAAACAACTCGACAACTTAAAAATAACAACTAACTGCAAGGCCAGTGGCTCAAACCCATCAGCCACTTCTTGGAAATACTGTATAGGGTCACTATGAGTTGTAAGCGACTCCATGGCACTTAATAACATAAAACACATTGTATTTTGAAGATATGCAAATCAATTTCTTTTGTTTATCATCTGGTGAAGTGATATTTTGGATATATTGGATTAAATAATGCATATTAATAAAAATCAACGTATTTTAGTCTTAATGTTGTTGTTGTTAAGTGCCGTCGAGTCAATTCCAACCCATAGCGACCCTGTACAGGGTTTCTGAGGAGCAGCTGGTGAGCTTGAACAGCCGACCTTGCAGTTCAAATGACTTTGCAGTCTGATGCATTAACCCACAGTGGCTATGAGAAAAAAAATGCAAAATTACATTTGGCTTGCATGATATTTTTATTAACACTAATCTAGGATAATAACAACAGGACATTTTTACTTAAGTTCCTAGAAGTGAAATCTGTGGGGTTTCAAAAGGAAATTTCCAGGAATTTAAAAATCTATGGAGTCCATGGGTAGTATAAGCTGTTAACACACTCAGCTGCTAACCCAAATGTTTGAGGTTCAAGTTCACCCAGAGGCACCTCAAAAGGTCTGACAATCTACTTCTGAAAAACCACCCACTAAAAACCTTACTCTACCTTGACAGCTGTGAGGTGACAGCAACTGCTTCCAAACATCAATCAGCTACACTCAATCTTTCTTAGTTCTTTTTTTTGAATGTAGTAAGTATATACTCTGAAACCAAGGGATCTCCTCTCCAAAGATCATAAAATAGTTAACAGTTCATTTACTATCTTTAATCTTTCTGGGATGACCGAATTTTATTCTAAAAAACTGGCCATATATTTGATTAAATAACATCACTCCATAGTTTAGGGTGATAAAATAAGATAAAGTCTAATGGGCATTTGAAATATATCACTGAAAACATGAGCAGCTGGTACTTTTTGTCCCATTGGGCATTAGTCCTGGCATTGAGAAGCTAGAGGAAATCCTTTGGAAATCACAGAGGTGCTAAGTAGTCGGTGGGAAACTACTGCTGGAGAATGAGAAAAATATTAAATGAGCATGTATGCCGGATAAATAAATGTATGCTACGGATCCAAGGATGGTACACACAGGTAAAAACAAATTCATGTTTTATTGTTCAAAACTTGTCACTTATTTTTCTTAAAATTTTTATTTATGCCTTGTCACTATCCATAGTGGCTTAAATAAGAAAAAAAAAAAAAAGCCTCAGCCACATTGTGGTTCTAGCCCCAATGTAACTATCATCCCTTCACGGGTAGAATTCCTCTCTTGCTTGTTACCACTTTTGTATGGTTTATATAAAATGAGGCCCTGGGAAAACCTTGATTTCCTGTGAACTCAGTGAACAGTACCCCAAACCAGTAGAAATAGGCAGGTAAAATTAGCAGGCTATCAGAAAGAGGAGCCTCTAGGACCAAGCTGTAGTTGTGTGCTTGTCTAAAAGATCGTACTGAGCCATCGGTGGAGTAAGGATCTGTAGGTTGACAAGCATGCAAATGGTGGTGTAAATGGTTAATGTGCGTGGTTGCTAACACAAAAACTTGGTGGTTCAAGTCCAGCCAGGGCCAGGGGCACCTCAGGAGATAGGCCACTGAAAACTACGGAGCACAGGTCTACTAACACCCACGGAGCTGTCCTGAGTTGGAGGTGAGTTGACTACAACTGGTTAGGTTAGGTTGACAAGCGTGAAGTAGAAACATCCACAGGATTGAATTATGGCAGAGGGGACTGTATGACACTCATGGGTTAAAGAGCAGTTGGGATTTAACACTTACCCAGGTGTTTTCCTGAAAATGATCCAAGTTCTAAAACACAAAACTATGTAGGTTTTTTTTTTTATTTTTTAAAAACATTCTTCTTACTTATGGAGGACTTCATCACTAATATGTTAGTTTTGTTGTGGTGCTATAGGATAAGCACTGGACTGCTAACCACAAGGTTGGCGGTTCAAACCCACCAGTCGCTCCTCAGAAACCCTATATAGGGTCGCTGAGTTGAAATCCGCTCAGTGGCACTAACAAGTGGCTGTGGTAATAAGAGTGGGCAGCTGAACTGTACCAGTGCATTAAAGACTTTCACACTAAATTCTGAGTTACTTTACTTGGAAAAATAGAATACTCACTAAAAGAAAGATTTAATGAGGATTTAGTTGGAATATAAAAATATAAGGACAAAGACCCAAGATGTGGGATATTTAAAATACACTTGTCTTGGATCAGCACCAAAAATAGCACTTTTTTTTTTGGTACAAATGTGTTGTGTTTAAATATAGGTAAATTAAGTTATTTCTGATAAAAATCACAAGTGCCATATAAATCATCAACCATATATCTGAACAATCTTCAAGTACATTTTGACATCAAGATCAGGCAATTCGCTAGGAAGGGCATTTTAATGAATACCACTGAATTTTTATACTATGACTTTTGATGTCAATTTCATATTAGGTGTTTAAATACTGTGTATCTCAGATGAGGAGGCACTGATATTTGGAAACTTGTGAAAATTACAACTGTTAACACTGAGGTGAAGAATTTGTGCAACCTTCCACAATTTCAAAGAGGTAGTGATAGATGCTTGTCCTCCTGGCAATATCCAAAGCAGTTTCATCCAAGTTGTTTTTCAGACTCGGTTTGATGTAACGGTTCATCAGAAGGAGCTCCAGGGTATCTTTGCTGTCTCTGTTGCCAGCAGCCAAGTGTAAGGGAGTCAGGAGGCCGTTGGTTTGGGCATTGATATCTGCATCATGTTGAAGCAAGAAAGAGGCCACTCTGGTGTTATTCCACTTGCAAGCACTGTGCAGTGGCGTCCAGCCATCCACAGTCACTGCATGCACGTCGGCCCCTTGCGCAATCAGCTCACGGACAACATCTAAGTGCCCACTGTAGGCTGCTCGGTGAAGGGGCGTATACTCATCTTCATCTCTCGTATTGACATGTGTGGCCTTTTCAGAAAGTAGTCTCCGCACTGTAGTTAGCTGAGCAAGAAAAATAAAATCTTTAAAAGACCCAACTCACACCAAAATAATAAACATCATGTTGTCTACTGTTATTTAACTTAATTACTATTTAATTAAAAAAAATATTTTCTTGCAGATGACTTTCAAATAAAGATACTTTAGGAGTTAGTAGAGAAGACAACTGATTCAAAAGTGAACAAGCTAGTATTCCCCACATTCTGTGGTTTCTAGGAATATGATTCTTGGAATATTAAACCATAAATTTATTCTTGGTGTGATTAAAGTTTACTGCATGAAAATGTTTATCCTAGGTGAACGAGTCAGACTGAAATTGTACTTTACATCTTATATTTGACCTGTCAAAACATAATAATGGGCTGAGATTTTTCTACATTAGGGTCATCTCACCAATATATACAACATAAAATACTTTTTAAAAATTAAACTTCTCTTATCAGAAGAATAACAGAGACAGGAAATCTAGGGATTAAAGAGCTCAATTCCTTCTAAGTAGGAAGACCTTGTAATTTAGACTCCTGGTGTGGCGCTGAAGGACTGCAAACCACAAGGTCGGTGGTTCACACCCACCAGCTGCTCCTTGGAAACTCTGTACAGGGTTGCAGTGAGTCAGAACAGAAAGACCTTGGAGTTCTGGTGTGGCACTATAGGATAAGCACTAACTGCAAGGTTGGCAGTTTAAACTCACCAGCTGCTCCTTAGAAATCCTACAGGGTCATTTTGAGTTGGAGCTGCCTGGCCAGCACACAATACCAAGGAAGACCTTAGAATTAAGGTTTTATGTAGTGATTTCAGTTTGGTTTGTTTCCCACTGGTGGGCTGCAGGAGGGGTCTTGGGTTAAAAAGTCCCCCACATATCTAAAAATGCAAGTCTGTTTTAGTTATTATAGCTTACTAGCATAGACAAAGAACTCAGCAAACTGAGGCAGAAGTGGTCAAGTGAGTTAAAGACTTTTGATGTTAATTCTAATTGGATGACCCTGAACAAATTAATATTCCTGAATTTCAAGTTTTTAATGTGTAAAAGGTAAGAAAATGTGATCTTGTATGGTTAAATGAGAATTAGACAGAATAATGTATTGTTACCTAATATAGTCAGTATTCAATATATCTTAATTATCATCCTCTTTCCTAAATGAAACTTGGCTTTAGGATGATCCTAATAATTTGAGATTCAGAAATATACATGATTGCATTCTTTCTTTATAGAGAATTACTCTTATCTATATGTTGTTGCTGTTAAGTTGGTTCCTGCTCCTAGTGACCCTAACCAGGTTTCCGAGGAGCAGCTGGTGAGTCTGAACTGCTGACCTTGTGGTCTGGTGCTTATCTGACAGTGCCACACCAGGACATACATTGTTGTTGTTGTTAAGTGCCACTGAGTTGATTCTGACCCATAACGACCCTGTATAGAGTTTTCAAGGAGCACCTGGTGAGCTTCAACCATCAACCTTGCAGTTCAAATGACTTTGCAGTCTGACGCATTAGTCCATAGCACCACACCAGTACTCCAGGACATATATACAACCCTGTAAAAAGAGAAGGGTATTAGACAGTAGTCTCCCCTTATCCAGTTTCAGTTACTTAAGGTCAACTGTGGTCTATAGATGGTAATTAAGCAGTTGCTGTTGATAGGTGTTTTTGTATAGGGTCATAGTGGCCCTGTGTAGGGTTTCTGAGGCTGCAAATCTGTATGGGAGCAGAAACCCTCACATTTCTCCTGAAAAACGGAATAGTGTGATAAAATCTTCTGCCATCCCACTCCCCCTTTCATATAACTTTTATTACAGCATACTGTTATAACTGCTCTATTTTGTTATTAACTATTGCAGTTAATCTCTTCCTATGCCTATAAATTAAACGTTATCACAGATATATATGGATAAAACAGTATATAGAGGGTTTGGTACTATTGGCTGTTTCCATGTATCCACAGGGTTGGAGTAGAGGGGTTGGCTTAGAACGTAAGCCCTGTGGAAAAGGGAGGACTACAGTGAGCCCTAAGGACCTTTGACAGCGGAGTGGTTATGAGTTTGGCTGCTACCCTCAAGGTCAGCAGTTTGAAATGACCAGCTGTTCTGTGGGAGAAAGATGAGGCCTTCTGCTCCTGTAAAGATTTACAGCCTCGAAAACCCTATACAGGGTCGCTATGAGTTGGAACTGACTCTATGGCACACAACCACCACCACCACAGTGAGCCCTGGTGTGGCGCAGTAGGATAAGCACTGGCTTGCTAACTGACCAGCCACTTGTAAACCCTATACAAGGTCACTATGAGTCAGAAACGACTTGATGGCACATAGCAACTGCAATGTCTATTCTTAGAGACAAGGAAATAAGTGGCTCAGTGGTGCCAAGATTTGCCCAAAATTCCAGACTGAAGATGCAGGTCTGTCTCTAAACCCAGTGCTTTCACTATATATATAATGGCTTCTTCTTTTTTTTATATACCCGATTTTGTTCAGCAGCCCAAAGAAGCAATTTGCTTGGATCCTTTTCCATTTTTTTTTCTTGCAATTGATACCACTCTTCAGTTTTTTCATCTTGTTCTTCATCTTCATCAGAACTGCCCACCCAGAGACTTTGGGTACCAGTTGGAATAAGGTGTCCATGTGTTTCCAACAGTTCAAGTTGATTAAACTGCTCAGAAAAGTCCAGGGAAATCTCCGAGTCTGTTCTTCCATCATCATTTAATTTCTCTTTTTCCATTTTTGCTGCTATTCTACATAGAAAGCATTTCACATGTCAGTATAAATAATTTTTCTAGAAATAAATGGTCTGCTTTATTTTATTCAACCAGATCTGAAAATATAAACATAAAAATGATTAGCAAAACAGTCATTGGGGCTTTATTGGTAACACAGAGAACAGTCTTGCAAGCAGACACAAATACACTCTAACTAAACTCTTCAATGTTTGCCACGATTGCTACTATTTACTGTTGTTAAGTGCTGCTGAGTCAATGCCGATCCATAGCAACTCTGTATAGGGTTTCCAAGGAGCAGCTGGTGAGCTTGAACCACCGACCCTGCAGTTCAAACAACTTTGCAGTCTGACGCATTAGCCCACAGTGCCACACCAGGACTCCTCTATATACTCACTACATATTGGTGCTGCCCGTGTGGCGCTGTAGGCTAAGCACTGGACTGCAAGGTCGGTTTGAACTGCAAGGTCAGTGGTTCAGAATCATCAGCCTTGGAAACCCTATGCAAGGTTGCTTTGAGTTGGAACTGACTCAACAGCACTTAACACAACAACAACCTGGACTTCAATGGTCTAGCGCACCTTTTTTCCCCCCTTCTATTAAGTCAGTGGTTATGATTGAATTCTTTTAAATCTATCGCCGTAGGTATTGCATTATGCTAAGAGTGATGAATACTTGAAGTTTTAAAATTCTAACTAGTACAATAAAGACCAGCATAAAAAAAGATAAAAACTTTTGGTTTAGAAAAAAACTACTTCAAAGAATCAGGGATTCTTAGAGAAGAGATAGCCCCAAGAGGGCACCTGTCCTAATCTCTCACTAATGAAGACATCTTTATCACAACATCTATAGAAATCATCCTATTTCTTCTTTAATGCTTTCTGGTCTGAGAAAATTCACTGCTTTAAAAGGTAGGCCTATTCACTGAGAGACAATCGTACTTCTTAGTTGCCTCATTCTTATTTTGAACTTAATTTTTGGCTGTTATTCACACCTTTATTCAAGAAATATGAACAAAATGTCTGGCATGTGCTACTTCCTAGGTACTGGAACTTAAGAAAAGATTTATGTCTTTAACTCAAGAACGCTAATGTTTAGTGTGGGAGTAGTGATTGGCAAAGACGGTATAATAAGCAATATGGTAGGACCACTTCCAAATATTCTAAATATACAAGGTCATAATCAACCCTAGGGATTGATTCCTAGGGATCAGAGAAAGCTTCCTGAAGGAAAGAATGTCTATTAATTTATAAAATACTATCAGATTACAAAGCTCCATGGCATATTAAAATTTAAACAATTAAAGAAAATGAGAATAACTAATATATATTTAAAATCTCTTTCCTAAGATTGTTTCTTCAACCTCCCAATTGTATTTGTTGAAATCTTACCCGTCTTTCAAGGCTCTTCTCAGATGCTGCCTCCTTCATTAAGTTCTTCTTGATCCTCCTAATTAGACATCTTAATTAGGCAAAGTCTCTATGGACTTTGGTGCTACTGTTGTTGTTATGTACCATGTAGTCGGTTCCAGCTCATAGCAACCCTGCATAGGGTTTCCAAGCTGTAAATCTTTATGGGAGCAGAAAGCCTCATCTTTGTCCCACGGAACAGCTGGTAGTTTCGAACTGCTGCCCTTGCGGCTCACAGCCCAATTCGTAACCACTGCGCTACCAGAGTGCCTTTATTTAATCAACAATTTTTTGTTTTAGCCTCTTAACAAAGATGGTAAGCTTAATGATACTGTTGTTCTTAGGTGCCATCGCATCGGTACTGACTATAGGGATGCAACGCACAACAGAACTTAATGACAGAGACTACATTTACCATAAATTTGTTCTACTTGTATACATTGCTGCTGCTCGGTGCCTTCAAGTTGGTTCTGACTCATACTGACTCGGTATAGGGATTTTGAGACTAGAAATCATTACAGAAGCAAAAAGCCTTTTTGCATACATTGTTGTTGTTAAGTGCCATGGAGCCGGTTCCAACTCATAGAGACCCCATATAGGGTTTCTGAGGAGTGGCTGGTAAGTCTGAACCACCGACCTTGTGGTTTGAACTGACTTTGTGATCCAGTGCATATTCTATAGTGTCACATCAAGACTCCATTTATATACACTGTTGTTGTTTAGTGCTGTTGAGTCGGTTCCGACTCAAAGAAACTCTGTATAGGGTTTTCAAGGAGTGGCTGGTGAGTTTGAACCGCTAATATTGTGGTTCAGACTGACCTTTTGGCCCAGTGCTTTATCTCACAGTGCTATATCAGGTGTTAAGAGTTACTTTCAGAATTTAATTAAAGCCCTATCCCTTGAATTTTGCTTGCCATAGAATCTGAGGGGTTCCAGACTTAGTTCATATCCCTCAGATACTGACTTCTTTCTACTTAATTTTACAAATTTGATCATTTATGATGGGGCTTTAAAAGTTTTTATAAAAATGGAATAGAAAGATAATGGAATTTTCTCACTGACTTTTTGACGCCCCTTTGTACAATACTAATGCAGATTTCATAATGAGTGGTAAAAAAACTAAACTCAAATTCAAATCTATCACGGACGAGTACTGGTTTCTCTTGGCCTATCTGTTTCCTTTGTAAAATGTAAGGATTGTACTAAAGGATTTCCAAAGCCTGGCCAGTTTTTCAGTCTATTAAGAGACCTGATCTGAACTGATTTATGTTTCATTAGTTTTTTTGGAGTTTCCATTTTTTTTTTTTTTTAACTTTTAATCTCAAACTATTTCCTGAACTTCACAGCACAAAAGTGACCATACAACAGTTTTTAAAAACACTTAACAGATTTGTTGTTGTTAAATGCTGTAAAGTCGGTTCCAACCCACAGCAACTCTATGAGAGTTTGCGACGAGTGGCTGGTGGGTTTGAACTGCTGACTTTGTGGTTCAAACTGACTGCGATCCAGAGCATTACTCTGCAGCGCCACACCAGGGCTTCACACCGACAAATAATGTATAATGAAAAGTCTGCTTGTTAATTATATCACATATGATTAAAATTATAACACACATATTCTTCTTAAGCTTTTGATACAAACTTTTCTACAAATTCTGAATTTTCAGCTCCAGATACAACAAACTTTGTATAAAAATTCCTTGGCTGATTTAATTACAAAAGCTAAACTCTTGTTCTCTAAACTGTGAAATGTGGGGCTGGCTATAAACTCTATTTTACAGATGAAGGCACTGAGGCTCACGTGGATTACAATGTTTTTCTATATATTAAGAACCGTCCAACGGAATGGAAGAGCTGGAACTCTTAATTACTGCACTATATTTTACTGCTCTCAGCACAAAACAATGAGCCCGTGAATTCAGTGGCCATAGTAAGGGGAAGGAACAAAATAAAGGTCTATAAACTGTAGTGTTTGAAAGTTCTGCCCCTGAAGAGTGCAAATGATAGACATGGGCCAAGAGAGAGGTGTCTGTCATCAGGGCACTTCGTGGCCTGGGATTATCGCCTGCGGCCTCAGAGGCAGCTAAGAAAAGAGAAGACGTTTCAGCCCTACATGGGACCCATGATTCGGCCTGACCTGCAAAGCTGACTAGTGATCTTTTCCTATGGGTCTAAACATCCATAGACGGCACGAGACGACCTTAAAGCTTATTAAGGAAGGGGAAATAAATACCCACCTTTCAGAAGGGAAATCGCCGCGGCGACTCTCGCTTCCGGGTTTCATCCGGTAGACTGCTCAGGATTGGTTTCTGTATGGAGGCGGGGCCTCACCGTAATTTCCCCGCCTGTTATTGCACTCGGCAGCCTATGAGAACCTAAGAGAACTTCATAGTTCTCACGGCATCAATAAAATATCGCGAGAGAAACAGTTACTCTCCCGCCTAATTCAGGTTTCTGGCCGAGCGGATTCAGTCTCAGGTGGTCTACTTGCATTTTCTACTCACGAGTCTGACTCCTTTTTCCCGGGTAAAGGACTGCCTCGTGTCCCGAGTAGTGGGACTTTGGAGAGTGCAGGTGTAGGATAAATTAGGAATTGTACTGTCTCATCTTTGCATGTTTCTGGGCTAGATCCCAGAATGGATCAGACCTGGGGTGGGGGTGGATGGTGCAGGGCGGGGACTAGGCGGGTTCTGCTGGGACTCAGCGATTCTGACTTCAGAGAGCGGAGTTCAGTGGTGGGGCTTGCTGAGGCTTGGGGTCGCAGGGCGTGGAGGGTTGTTTCGCTGAAGCAGTCACTCCCCACAAATTTCGGCCTGTTTCTGTTCTGGAGCTTGCAGGTGTTTCTCCGTGGACCACGTGTATTGGTTCAGCTGTTTGTGTATACTAGCGTTAAACGCGGGTGTTTCTCTATCCACTAAACTAGCTCATTACTTTAAAATTTTTTTAAAAAATCTTGTGTTGAGCGGAAGTAGGGGCTGCCTTCATGGTCCCGAGTGCCTATACATGCAGCCTAAGAAAGATGTGTTAATATCCAGAGTTGTTAGTGTGCTAAATCGGAAGCACGGTTGTTCTTGTTATGTGCCCTGGAGTCGGTTCCGACTCGTAGCTACCCTGTACAGGGTTTCTGAGGCTGTAAGTCTTTACGGGAGCAGAAAGCCTCGTCGTTCTTTCGCAGAACGATGGTTTATATGGTAGTTTAGAACTGCTGACCTTAAGGTTCGCAGCAGATTCGTAACCACTATGCTACCAGAGCTCCTTATATGTAACCCTATTTGCCCTGTACATTTAAACACTGTTTAAAAGGTAGTTTCCATCAAGGCTCCGGCAAGGAAAATAGGAGACGAGATTTTTCATATGGTGTATGGACTAGCACTGAAGAGGCATGTTATCTGTTGCTAGCTCTTTAAAGAATAAAAGCACAGTTGAAAAGATTCTCTTGCAAACTTGCCGGTCTATTTATTTGTAAAGTCTGTGTCCTGTAGAACCTAAATCATATTGGTTAAATACGTGCAATCTTTAAAAAATTAAATTCTCTTGTCATGTAATTAAAAAAAATCAATTTCACTGTGGCTCTAGTTCTTGGTTTACGAATTTAGTTTTGTTTGTTTGTTTGCTTGTTTTGGAACACTTTATTGTGGTTTGGATGAAAATTTACAGAGCAAATTAGTTTCTCAACACTTTTTACATGTTTTGTTTCCTGACATTAATTTCAGTTTCATTTCTTCCCTGAGTTCTCCTTTTCCAATCTTCTAGCTTTCCTGCCCCTTCTTGCCTTCTGAACTTTTTTTTTTTCGGTCTCGTTTGGCTCATTGTTCTATAATAGTATAATTTTGTTTTGGAATTTTCTGGGGGAACTTGGAATAAAGTGAGCTTTTTTGACATTTTATTACAGATGCTTGGAGAAGGAACCCGGTCCTTGAGGAACTAAACGAAATATAAAAATGAGTCCTTCAGATGCACTGTAAGCACGTCTATCTTCTGGAAACTTTTTGGCTCTGGATTTCTAAGTCCCATTAGCTATTAGGTATTGGGCTGCAAACCACAAGATCGGTGATTCGAACCCACCAGACAAAGAGACTGTCTGTTCCCCTAGGACTTACAGTCTTGGAAACCCTATACAGAATCACTATGAGTCAGAATCCACCTTTCTTACCAGTTTGTCATACTGTGGTGGCTTGCATGTTACTGTGACGCAGGAATCTATACCACCAGTATTTTAAGTGCCAGCAGGGTCACCATGATGGACAGGTTTCAGCTGAGCTTCCAGATTAAGAAAGACTAGGAAGAAGGAGAGGGAGACTACTTCTGAATGTTGTCATTAAAAACCTTATGAATAGCAGTAGAACACTGTCAGAACTAGAGTATTGAACATTGAATCATGGGGAATAGAGAATATTGTCAAATTTAGTGCAAGAAGTTGAGTCCCTCAGGCTGAAAGGTATCAGAATACGATTGGGGAAGAACTGCCCTCATCAAAGTAGAGTTGATCTTGGGGGGGATCAGTGAAAAGAGGAAGACTGCCAATGAGATGGGTTGGCACAGTGGCAGCAGCACTGGGCTCAAGTGTAACTGATAGTGAGGATGGCTCAGCATTGGCAGTGTTTGGTTCTGTTATGCATAGGGTTGCTATGAGTTGCAACTGACTGGATGTCACCTAACAACAACAACATGAGTCAGAATAGACTGGGTGGCAGTGGGTTTGGTTTGGTTTATAACTATCATAGAACGAAACTTTAATATACTTAACAATACAGTAAAAAAGA